ATTTTCAATAAATTAACTGCAATGGTTCATGGGTGTACCGATTGAGTTGGGCTCGTTGGTATTATCCAGTGAACTTCCACAAACATTGAACTTCTTTTTTTTTCCCTCAAAATTTTAATTTGATTTCATTTCACAAACGACCTGAAGGCCAGGGACCTCCACATTACACCCGGAGCTGGAAGCATTATCCAGTTTTGCTTACAGGCTGAAACAGTGAAAAGCCTATGGGACTTTTCCATAGCCCCACGCAGCTCTGAGGCTGCTGGCTCCACACTAGGATTATCCCTCCCATCTACCCGGTCCCAAACTACTACAGTACAGGTGTCCCCTACTCATACAGAGTCCTAAAGCGGTCCTGTGGATCAAGTCCAGGGGACTACATCTACCTACGTACTAGTGCTGCCAGATCTATAAAATGGGAGTTTGTGCACAGCGAAAAACACAGACTCGCAGAGTTTGAATGTTTGAGCAACAGCAGAAAACTACTCAGGGGGTTTTGAATTTGCAGTTTGAAAGTTCGAAGTTTGAACGGTTCAAAATTGAAACCACAAAATGGGTGTTTGTGCACAGCCAAAAACACGGGCTCCACGGACTGTGGTTCCTTGGAAATCGAAGCAGTAAGGCGGGCAGATTCGAATTTTTCGAATCTGCCCGCCTTACTGCTTCAGTCCTGGTCCGGCCCTGTCTGGAAAGTGCGAATGGGGCCTAAAATTCACGGAACTATTTTTTAGGGCCTCCCTGGGTGCCAAGCGACACTTCCAGGCCGCCCTTTTTTTTTTTTTATTTTGGCCAAGGGGGGGGCAATCCGACCGTCTGGACCGGACACCGGACCCAGACCGTCTGCAAAGCGGTCCGGACGTCTGGATCGCTACCATGCAACAAAATCATTAAAAAAAAAAAGTTCTGCCGAACACGCAAACATGTCCGGACCATCGGAAAAGCCCCGAACATGTTCGGTGTGCTACACGGCGATAAAATGAATGTAAGGGGTTTCCCCGTTTCATAAAGAAAGCGCTGTGAAGCGGCGATGGTTGCGCAACACATGGCAGCTGTGTGTTTTTAACTTTTAAATTTTAATTAGTAACTAACTTCTTAAGTTCTTACTAACCACCCTCTACTAAACCCTGGACCTTCAAAAAATATATATATATATATAATATATAATATATCGTCATATATATAAAAGAGATTCTTCCCACGTGTGCATTTTTTCCCCTTCTTCTTCTTCTTCTTCTTTTTTGGACCATTCGAACCCTGTTTTTTTGGTTTCAGTTCCTGTTTTTTTTGTTTATTGCGTCTCGTTCATTTGCTCTCTTTCATAAAATTCTAACAGTTCTTTTTTTTTGTGCATAGTTGTGTTCACCGAACCGTATCCAGCAGCAACAGAGAGAGGCATGCAGAGTGTATGTGTTTCGTTTTCGTCTTGTATTTCTGTTGTTTTTTTGGTTTCAACTTTTCGTTCCTGGTCTTTTGTTTGCTGTGTTTCTTTAATTTGCTGGTTAAAAATGAACCAGAGAACAACACAGATCTCCCAAACTGTGGGGTGGTCATTTTGCCTATTCTTTCCATTTCTTCCGAAATCTCAGATCCTACCAAGCAAAAATGCATGCATGGCCTCGAGAAGGCAATTCGGCACACTTTGGCCAAAAAAAAACCTGGAAAATAAGAGATGGTACATATTGGGAAAAATGTAGTTGCCAAAAAAAAAAAAAAAAGGACGACGATGGCGACGGCGACGACGGCAACAACAACGAAGAAGAAGATGAAGACGACGAAGAAGAAGAAGACGACGACGAAGAAGAAGACAATGTAGCTTATTAGCTGCTGAGTGCTGAGGGTGGTGCCCACTCGAAGTGCTGTCTCTTATACACATCTAGATGTGTATAAGAGACAGGTCTATGGAGCTGGCAGTGACAGTGTGGCACACCTGAAGCGTTGAGACATTTGTGAAGGGGTCATAGCTCTTCTCCTTGGCCCGTCCTCCATCTAAAACATACACGATGTCATCGATCGTCACTGCAGTTTCCGCGATATTTGTGGAAAGAACAATCTGCAAGCAAAAGACAAACAACCAGGGAAAAATGCTCAGCCAACCTTGCCCAGGGGCCATGCTAATCTTCTCTGTATCTTCCAATTTTAGCGGATGAGGTCTGCGATAAAAAAACAAAAAAACAAAAAAAAAAACTCAGCCCGCTCGTCGAGAACCTCCCTCCCTCATACCTTGGCGCAGCTCTGCGGACGTAAGACGCCGATACAACCAAGCGCGTGGTTGACTCCATTACCATTCTAGGGAGTAACAGTCCGTTCACAATTCCAGACAGATGACGATAGCTCAATGTCTGGCAACACATGACAGAGGAAGATGAGTCATAGGTGAGAGCGAAAAGCATCTGTTCAGATCAGTTTACTATCCGATCCCTCGTCCATCGGAAAAAAAAAAAAAAAAACAGTACAGATGTTTTTAGAGAAAAAAAGCAGCACACAGATCCTACGTGGCTGAATGGTACCTAAAATGTAAGCATCAGTATACAGACCATGTGTTCAAATCCTGCTGGAACCAAATGGATAAAATCCAAGGCTGGGCCGGCAACCGGCCGGTTCACCTCCCCCGGTCCACCCGGATCCGGACCAGCCCAGGGGGGCTGAACCGGAAAACCGGTTTTCAAAAAACATGCCCAGGATTTTTCGTTTCTTTTTTTTTTTGTCGGCGGATTCGGACTGCGCTCTTCGAGATCTGTCCAAATCCGCAATAAAATTTGGAAGGTGCGAATTTTTTTGCGGGGGGGGTTCCCAAGAGGGGGGAGGGCATACTATCGGGTGGGGCCAGGGAGTCGGAGGTTGGCCTTTATGTGGAGGGGTCAAGTCAACTGCTTTACTTACCCTCCGTGGCCTTTCAAATTTCAATTCTGCCATATACCTCTTTATTGGTTTATGCCATCAGGCACTGGTTTTCTAGAGGCCGAATGACATATGCTGTTGGGAGGTGCTTGCCCAAAGTTATAGCTCTTCGGGATACCGAGCTCTAAACTGGAAAAGTTATTGGTTGAGGTTTCAGCTCGTGCAGGCAGAGAGCTTCCTTTTGTTTTTCCCTTATATGGTGAGTCATCAGTCCGCTTTCCTTTTGTTTTTCCTTTATACAGTGGGTCATCAGTCCGAAAGTATTTCGCCTCGTGCGCTGTCCAGATACATGTAGTGGAGCAAGGTTCATTCTTGGGATTGCACCTCGGACTGCTACTCTGATTTTACGAGCAGAAAAACCTCAACCCATAACTTTTTCCCCACAGAATAGGGATATCTGAGAAGCATATAAACACAACAGAGCCTGGGCTAAATCATGCTGTTCCTATCCTCCTCTCCACTTCGGTCGAGGATGAACACCTGCCTACTGTAGCGGGTTTGTGGTCTCTTAGACTGCAGTATCAATCTGAAACTAGTAAAATCCATATAGAAACAGGACCCCGTGTTTTGACGAAAACACGTGGAAGTGGGGTCAAGAGGCCCTGTTTATTTTTTCGAAGAGGACACTAGCCTCCCAAGGGCTCGGCAAATGCAGTAACGCCCGTCGATCCCCAGTACCCCCCCCCAGCATGATGCGCTGGACTCGACCGGGGGCCTGCCGGGCCGGTCGACCGGCAGGCTCCCGGTTCGGGGAAGGGCCCCCGGTCCAACCGGGGGACCAGCACTGATAAAATCATATTAAAATGATTATTAAAATCATAATACGAGCTACCCACGTCAAGAAGAAGAAGAAGAAGAGGAGGAAGACGAAGACGAAGACGGAGACGAAGACGAAGAAGGAGACGGAGAACGGTGGAGCAGGCATGTTTTTTTTCCCTATGAATATCAATGAAAATATAGAGAGTGATTAGAGAGAATACGGAGGCAATCTGAAGAACAGATTGTCTCTGTATTCTGTACACTTATCAGCATCGGACCTCCTCCGTGCATTCACGGAAAAAGACCCGAGTTTCTTAACCGCTACAGCCATGGCACGGTGTACAAAAGTGTATCCATGCCGATCGTGACATCCACCCCACACCTGCACGGCTCTAGTGTTCTTCAAC